TCCTTGGCAGGATTTGTTTCAAAGGAGTTTGCCATTGCCTTCCTTTGAGACTGAGAGTATGACTTGCCCATGGTCACCTCTTGGATTTTCACAGTCAGGAAGGAATTTGAACCTTAGTCTCCGAAAGTCTTAGTCCAATACTCAAACCACTATCCCATATTGACTGCCCAGTGAGGTTTTCTGGCAAGGTCCTGTAATTCAAGGATGTACTGTATTAAAGGTGTAGTTTTCAGTAGACCTGCCTGATAGTAAGCTTCACTGAAATGGTGGAACATATTTTTGGCTGAAATGCATATAGGGTTGTATTTTGACTTTCTTTACATCTGAGTAAACGTGACTTATTCTTGCCAGGTTGAGGTGAAGTCAGGAGAAGAAGATGAAGAAATTATCTTCAAAGAGAGAGCCAAATTATACAGATGGGACAGAGATGTCAATCAGTGGAAGGAACGCGGTGTTGGAGAAATAAAGATTCTCTTCCATACACAGAAGAAGTGTTACAGAATTTTAATGAGAAGGGACCAAGTTCTCAAAGTCTGTGCAAATCACATTATCACAAGAACAATGGATTTAAAACCCCTGAACACCTCAAATAATGCAATGGTTTGGACTGCAACAGATTATGCCGGTGAGTGTTTATCTAATGATGTTCCATAGTTGATTCTGACTACATACATATCAAAGATGTATGCTTTAATCACATTTCAAACCTCTATTTCAGATGGTGAAGCTAAGATAGAACAGCTCGCTGTCCGATTTAAAAGTCAAGATCTGGCAGATGCATTCAAGAGGAGATTTGAAGAGTGCCAGCTAAACCTGTCAGGGTTGCAGGAGGGTCATATATCGCTGACAACAGAATTGTCCAAGGAAACGAACCCTGTGGTCTATCTTGAGGTTTCCGCTGATGATGAGCCTTTGGGGCATATAACCATAGAATTGTTTTCGAATATTGTTCCTCGAACAGCTGAGAACTTCAGGGCATTATGCACTGGAGAAAAAGGTTTTGGATTCAGGAACTCCATATTTCACAGGATAATTCCAGATTTTGTCTGTCAAGTAAGTGGAAACAAAAATATTGGGAATATATTAAATATTCACAAGATACCATGTAACATTTTCTTTGGGAATGACTTATATATCATCTTCTAAACTCTGGGTTGTATAGGAAAAACAAAATGGAAAGCTGTGTGATGTTTTTACTTTAAAAGAATACAGATACAGACATCACAAAAGTATTGTAGCCTCTTCAACAAACTATCAACATATATTTCTGAGCTCAGTATATATATATATATATATATATATATATATATATATACACACACACACACACACACACACACACACACACACACACACATATACATACTGGGTGCATTTGTTAGACCTATTTCTGGGAACCACCCCCAAATCAGCTCTAGTTTTTGAGATGTAGTACAATATAAATTTGATTTAGATCCCTTTGCTGCATTTCAACAGCTATTGTGCCATGCTCATTTATTTATTTATATATTTGTTTATTTGTATACTGCCCTAACCCCCAAAGGGACTCAGGACGGTTTCCAACATATAAGGAAAACATTCAATTACCAGAAAGAAACCATACAAACAATTAAATCAAGATAAACACTTTCGACAATATAACACAATCTAATTAAACTTAACAGACAAGATAAACAACAACTAAAATGTAATAAAATACAAAAAATTACCTTGTATCCCCCTCCAATATTTTTTATTTGAAGGGGATACAAGAGAAAATTTTTTAAAAAATGGACATAAAAATATCGATGAAACCAGAATACTTTTTTTGCTATAAATAAATGATGTGGAAATGGACAATAATAAAGGTAAATTAATCAATGATTTTGTAACGGCTGCCAGAATAGTTTATGCAAGGAATTGGAGAAATAAAAATACACCTTTAACTGATAAGTGGATGGTAAAAATTATGGAAGTCATTAATATGGAAAGATTAACTCACCTACTAGAGAAAGCTCAAGGCTCACCCAAGACCACAGACTGGCTACCTTTGAAAGAATATATGAAATGAGAATGATAATATGAAAGATTTTTTTTACAAAAACATAGAGTGAAAGGGGAAGCAACAAATAAAAGAGTGAACGAAGGACAATAATTGCCCACGATGAAGAAAATTGGATATCAACGCCCCCATTTCTGCATCCTCTTCCCCGCCTTTCCCTTTTTTATCTTGTTCTTCCTGATTCTCTCTTTTATCCCACCTTGCTATTTTATAATAGTGCAAATTTTTGATTTAATGAATAAAAATTACCTTTAAAAATTCAAAAAAATCTTCTAAAGCACACTAAAGATTAAAAACCCATTTCCATCAGTAGAGGTTCAACAAAACCAAAACCTTTAGCATAAAGCATTACTAGTAAAACACGTTTTAGGACACATTTGTTGTTTCAGCCTTCATCATATTCCACTTAATTTTCTAATTTTTTTATATTTCAGGGAGGTGACATTACTCGGCACGATGGCACAGGTGGAAAATCAATTTATGGCAATTCGTTTGAGGATGAAAACTTTGAAGTAAAACACACGGGCCCCGGCTTACTGTCAATGGCAAATCGTGGTAGAGACACCAATAATTCTCAATTCTTTATTACCCTCAAAAAGGCAGAGCATTTGGACTTTAAACATGTTGTCTTTGGTTTTGTAAAGGATGGTATGGATATTGTGAAAAAAATGGAATCCTTTGGCTCTCCTAGTGGAGCAATGTCAAAAAGGATTACAATTACAGACTGTGGGCAGATATAAAAGCATGGCTTTAACAGGTATGCAGATTAGACGATCATTGTCCAGCAAGTTTAGACAAAATTATGTTCAGCTTTTAAAATAAAAATTGAACATTTCTCCATGTATAAATGTAAAATTCCAGCTTATAGCTGAGAACTTTTTTTAAAACGTGTTTCAATTGACTTTGCATGTTGTGAAATAAAAGTGCAAACACTGGTAAATTTCAGGTGTATTTTTGTTTCCTCCTGATTTTTGTATTAAATAATTTAAAATGAGATTTGAAGAATCTGAAGTTCTGTCATTCTGGTTGTGTGTATTTACCAGTTTAACTGAATAGTTCAAATAAAATTAGTAACTAGTTCATGATTACTGCTTTTATTCTTCTTGGCTTCCCCAATTCATAGGCAGCCCTGAAACAATTCATTCCTTTTATTTACACTTATTCATCTTGATAAACAAAACGACTCTGCTTATTGCTTCTCTAAATGTAATTTTGTATTGTAGTCTTTTAAATTTATTGAAATATTTAACTTTTGTTATAATAATTAAAAAAATTATGTATAGGCCACCCTATCTCCCCTAGGGGACTCAGGGTGGTTTACACAACAAAAAGGCAAACATTTAATGCCTTACAACAAATACAAGCATATAAACGATGTGTGATTTATATCATGGATGCTTGGCAATGGAAACTCCCTTTGCTATAATAAATTAAGTGCAACATCACTGTTTCAATGGCCACTGCTGTTGTGCTTTTAGCAAAATGGGTGTTCTTTTTATTTTAATTCAATGGAACTGTGTTAATACTTTCTTACTTAGGCAATCCCTCGTTGTTCAAGTAAGATTGTCCTCCAAGTGTGGTGTCCTGACGGTAGGTCCGTAGGTGACTGTGGAGCCCTATTCTTGACCCGCATGTTCTCCTGCAGTGAGGACATCAGGTGGAAGGCGGTCCCGGTCAGGGTTGGCTTGATGCGCCTTCCTCTTGGCATGTTTCTCTCTTTTGCCCTCCATTTGTGCCTCTTCAAATTTTACAGCACTGCTGGTCACAGCTGACCTCCAGCTAGAGCGCTCAAGGGCTTCCCAGTTCTCAGTGTCTATGCCACAGTTTTTAAGGTTGGCTCTGAGTCCATCTTTAAATCTCTTTTCCTGTCCTCAATTCGTCTCTTGCCATGCCGGCATGACAAAGTGTACTCTTTTGACCAGTCTCTATTTGACAATTGACTTGAGACCTTCTCATCACACTTTTCTACCCCATGTTCCAACAATCACTTGGTTGTAGGAAACAGTAACACTATTGAGCATACATTTCACTGCTGCAGTAACAGTAAACCACCATTTTTAATTTACAAATTGTAGTTCATTCTTGATGATCATGTTATTGTTATGATTGAAACAGTTGTTCCACCTAGACTACCTGTAGGATCCACTAGTAGCATGCTTACTACAAGCTGAAAACTGCTAAACCTAAAGGACTGCCCATTTTGAATCTGATTTAAAGTAAGGCTGAAAAATTGTCCCATTAACACTTAGACAGCAGGCGTATAAGTTACCTGTTCCCCTACTGCAGAGATTGACCCTTCCTTATTCAAAATACTTGGGATCAGAAGTGTTCCATATTTTAGATTTTTTAATACTTCCATATATAGGCAGTCCCCAAGTTATGAACAAGTTAGGTTCTTAAGTTGAATCTGTAAGTGAGAACAGTAGCTTTTAAGTAGCTTTAGCCAAATATGGACATATAAGCTTTGGATGGCATAGGGAAGTGTTATTAAAGTGAATTAAGTGTTATTATGTGAATTAAAGACGCGGCTGTTTCATCATGCTTTCGACTGATGACTCCTATGACAAATGGTTTGTATTATGAATTGAATTGTCATTCAATCTGATGTCCTATATTATATTAACTGATCCTGTTAATTTGCTCTGTTTCCATGATTTTCCTATGCCTTAATACATTGCCATCTACCTTACTAAACCACTTTATCCTTTAACTAGTTCATGTAGTGGTTTTCCTCCTCCCTCCAAAATTAGTCTGCTGTTATTGTTCTTGCTAGCTATTTTATTATGTTGTTTTATGCTGTTTTTGTGTTGTTTTAATTGTTATTGCTTTCTTTTAACTGTATTCAGCCAGGGCTTGGGCCCCATGTAAGCCGCCCTGAGTCCCTTCGGAGAGATGGAGGCGGGGTAGAAAAATAAAGTAGTTCTTCTTCTTCTTCTTAACACCCCTGTGGTGTTTTGCTTTCTGTACGCCTGTTTGGAAGATTTCACCTCACTTTCTGTCCCTGTGGCCACTGATTGAGGTTCTGGATTTTAGCCTCACTTTTGGACTCTTGCTTGCTGAGGTGTTCCTGCGAGTACCACTGTAGGAGCCGGAACTGTCAGTGCCTTGGTCCTGTCTTACAGGCTGCCCTCTCAATGTGATGAGGTGGCTATGGAGACATTCATGGAAAAACTATAGCAAAATGTGCAGCAGGACTTCCCACAGAAACTGGTCCATGAAATCACGAGGAGTCAGAAACGACTGAACGAATGAACAACAACAAAGTGTAAGAGCGCAAGACACAAGCCAGTGGGTCCTGAATGTGGTTAACAGCGCTGTGACGTCACTGTCGCGGGGTTGTATTGAAGAAGCGCGCCCCTTAGAGGTTAGAGGCGCGCGCACGGCTTCTTAGCAGCAGAATGAATAATACTCGCGCCTTCCTTCCCTCTTTCCCGCGCGAGCATGGAGGGCAGAGAAAGGTCCACCAGGCGCATGCGCCCTGCGCCTCCTCGCTTTGGCGTCTGTTGCTGCTGGGAGGGGCTCTTCTGCGCGGAGTTTGCTTCATGGCGACGCCGACGGAGCTGAGTCGCTCGGTGGAGCGCTGGAGGAGGCGCTACCTGGCGCGAGAGGTGCGGCGAGCGGGATAGAGGCGCGAGGCGCGGGAGGCAGGCCTGATCCGTGTTGACCCATTCATTCCCACGAGACGCGGGTTCTGGATGAAAGCGGGTCGCTTCTGAGGGTCTGTGGGGGAATTGGGGAAGCAGCAGCCTCCTGCACGTCCTCTGCGACGCTTCTTGCGCCTTGTGTCCTAGTCTGTAAGACTCAGCGCCCTTATATCTCAAACAAAGTATGTCTACACAGTAGAATCAATGCAGTTTGGCACCACTTTAACTTCTACGACTCAATACATTGGAATCGTTGAAATTTACAAAGTATTTTGCCTCTTCCGAAGAGTGTTAGCGCCTCCCCAAACTGCAAATCCCAGCGTTCCATAGCACTGAGCCATGACAAGTACAGCAGTTTCAAACCGCATTAACTCTACAATGTAGAGGAGGCCTGGGCCAATTTAGGTCTTCCCTCCAGGTGTTTTGGACTTCAACTCCCATCATTCCTCACAGCCTCAGGCCCTTTCCTTTTCCCTCTCAGCCGCTTAAGCGTTAGGAATGGTGGGAGTTGAAGTCCAAAGCACCTGGAGGGAAGGCCCAAGCCACTTAAGCAGAAAGGAAGGCGCCTGAGGCTGTTAGGAATGGTGGGAGTTGAAGTCCAAAACACCTGGAGGGCCCAAGTTGGCCCAGGCCTGGTTGTTAGGCAATCCCTCGTAGCCCAAGGCTGATGGTCCTCCAAGATTGGTGTACTGGCGGTACGTAGGTGGCTGTGGAGCCGTATTGATTCCTATGTTCTCCCGCCGTGAGGACATTGGTTTCCAGGTGAAAGGCTGTCCCAGTCAGGGTTGGCTTGGCACACCTTCCTCTTGGTATGTTTCTCCCTTTTGCCCTCCATTCGTTCCTCTTCAAATTCCACAGCACTGCTGGTCACAGCTGATCTCCAGCTAGACTGCTCAAAGGCCAGGGCTTCCCAGTTCTCCGTGCCTATGCCACAATTCTTAAGGTTCGTTTTAAGCCCATCTTTAAATCTCTTTTCCTGTCCACCAACATTACGTTTCCCATTCTTGAGTTGGGAGTATTTGGGAGATGGCAGCCATCACTTCAATGCTGATGGTGTAGATGCACCAGGCCTGGTGCACTAATATGCTTTCTTAAATAACCCACTGAAGAAAATCAAGTAATTTGAAATGCAGTCAGAAAGGACTAAAAAAGGCAAATAAATAGATAAAATCAAGCTTGAATTTTCCCTAGAAGGCAAGATGAAAATGAGACTGCTGTACTTTGGACACATCATGAGAAAATAAGGCTGACTAGAAAAGGTAATGAATGATGCTTAGTAAAGCAGAAGGCAATCAGCCAAGAGGAAGACCACATTCCTGATAGATAGATAGATAGATAGATAGATAGATAGACAGACAGATTCAATCAAGGATGCCCACAGCCCTGAGTCTGCAAGGCTGCTAAAGATCCTGTGACTTAGAGCCATTCATTCATAGCATCATCATAGGTCAAAGTGAATTTGATGGCAGTTAGCAATGAAAGCCAGCTCAAGGTTGCTTACATGCTCAGAAGGGAAGGAAGATGTTCATTTTTGCACCCTTTGGTTGTCTGTCTCAGGTTCATATGCGCCCCCGATATTGCAATAGGTTAAACCCTTATGCCAGCAGGACTGCTGACCAAAAGGTTGTCGGTTTGAATCCAGGGAGTGGGGTGAGCTCCCCTCTGTCAGCTCCAGCTTCCAATGTGGAGACATGAGAGAAGCCTCCCACAGGATGGTAAAACATCAGCGCGTCCCCTGGGCAATGTCCTTGCAGAGGGCCAATTCTCTCACCCTAGAAGCAACTTGCAGTTTCTCAAGTGGCTCCTGACATGAAAATAAATGTGTGTTTTAACATCAACAGCACAGCAGAGGTGCCATCAAGTTGATTTTGTATGAAAATGCAATGGAAAAACATAATCTTCATTTTTTGTTTGCTCTACTCCTATAAACACCCCTTCTATCCTCTCCATTGAGTTGGGATTGGTAGATCCTGGATAAATGTAGTTTCTGGTTGTGTAAGAGTGACTATTAAAAATAGGCCTAGATAATACTGTACCGCATACTATATCATAAGCTGTATTGCTCTGATATTAATATTGAAATACAGTTATTAAAAGCAAATTAAGACTGTCTTGATTTGGTTAATTAACATAACACTGTTTTTACTGTATTATGAAAATAGTTTTTTAGATGCAGTTGTCTTCAGTTTTTTGCCAGTTGGTTGAGAGTTCTGGTTGCTTGGGTTCCTGGTTAACTAAGAGTCTAGTGTATTTCAGTATTGGTTAAATATTTTTGGGAAAGATTCTTGTTCTCTTACTTTTAAAAGATACTTTATTGCAATCTTGCAATAAAACAAAGAAGTTGGACTTGTGATGTGTGTATGTGTAGATATATAGATATCTAGATATATAATTACAGATTGGTCTTGTTCTTTTAGGATTATTCTCCAGATATAAGTCATGAAAAAAGTAAAAGTAGAAGGGCCCTGCTACTTGCAGGTAAGAGTCATATATTATGGTCCTTTGGAAAGTGGGTCAGCCTTGCCATGTTTGCCAACCCAGTGGCCCTGAGCAACTTGGTGTATACTTCCACTTCAAGTTATAGATCCCTCAGTATCAAAACACTTAGTTGTTGGTTGGACATGGGGATACTGAAGGGTTTCCTCCCTAGCAGTCCCTTCAGACCTTTCACACTACACCATTATAGTACTTAGATGACCTATTTAACTTATTTCATCTTAGATTTATTATGTATTTAGAAAACTCTGCCTGGGAATTCTAACTTTCCCTTAATGAGAAATCCCGATTCCATAGAACGCAGCCATGACAGTTAAAGTGAAATTAAAGTGCTGCAATTGTGTACTGAGAAAAGTGGTGTTCTCTAGCTGTGGTGAAGTATAAACTCTGTTGGTCACAGCATGGCTAGGGATAATGGGAGATAGAGTCTTTGACCATCTGGATGACTTAAGGTTGTGTTTGTTTTTTAAAAACATTTGTTTTAAAAAACCTGCTTTTAAAAAACATTTGGTTAAAAAAAGCTGCTCCCAAAATGATATCAACAAATAAATGCCCATAAAAACATTGATCTGATACAGATAAAACACATTTTAAAACCATTTTTATAAACATCTGAAATTGAAGCTATTCTACTTCCCTCTTGAAAAACTGGAGTACAATATTCATCTCTGTCTCTCCATACCACTACTAAAAAAAGAACTTCATAGCATGTCCATTGTCCTACTTCCAGGTCTGAACCTTGGCCAACACAGTGACCATTATGTCTCCAACATAAGAATGTGATATTACTATGCAAAGATGAAAATAATGTCCTGAGACTTTATTATTGTAGTCTGATGCTCCACGGAGATTATGCTCTCCAAGGTTAAATGATGGCTTTCCTCTTTGTATATGAGGCTGGAAAACGGTCGACTTTTCAAAGGAGTTCAGTATATAGCAACATACTACCTATTCATAATAAGTCGCCTGTCAATCCCTGGTTTGTCACGTTGTGTGAAAGCACACTTTGGTATTCCATAAAAAGGTCAAGATACTGAATTTCACTTTTATCATGTAAATGCAGTCTATAATTTGGTAAGTGCATATTTAATTTATAATTCATAGACGTTTCAAGATGATACTGTATCCTAATTCTAGATCATTAATAAATAGAAATACTGCAAACAAACATTTTTAGAATGCGGTGCTATCTTAAAATCAAAAGCAAACTTTTATGTGTAGACTACGTTTGCTTGTGGAGAGCACATTCCCGCAGAAATAATTGGGATTTGCTCCCAAATAATGGCTTGAATCCCAAGATAAGGAAATTCTTGGAAGGCAAAAGAGTTTACATTTTCTTCCTCTCCCCATGTAACTAGAACCTCTCAAAAAGCTTCTCTGGAGGATCAATGAGGCCTTACTGAACAAGACAGAGGTGGGTCTTTGCTTAAGAGCCAGCAAATTGCCCCAAATCAGACAGAAGTCTGTTTATTTTAGGATGATTTAAACTACACCAGCCCTTCATATGCCACCCCATCATGTTTAGAGGGAGGCTTTATGAGTTACAGGGGGATGGAGAAATCGTTCTATGCTGAAACTCTCCCACCAATAGATTAGTATCTGTTAGGATAGATTTCGCCTTCCTCCTGCAGCTCCACACATACCTCTAAAATTGTGTCCCATTGGTTTTTAGACTCTCCAAAGTGAGTTAAGATGAACCCTGGTTATTAGGCTGAAGGAAGGAAATGTAAATATTTGTAGCATGAGTGGAAGTCTTATCACCCTTGTTTTTCATGATCTTCCTTGACCTGGATTTCATAATTTTAGCTGTTTTAAAATAGATCTTTCTGTTAGAAAATGTGAGGAAAATAATTTTTGTAAAATAGTGACATTGGAAAACCAATTTGGCCTTTACAAACATATAATTTAGTTTTGACAGTAATTTTGGGGTGTTTCATGTTTTATTCTGTTTGTATCCTTCATATACATCTCGATATAGAGCAGTGATTCTCAACCTGGGGTCCCCAGATGTTTTTGGCCTTCAACACCCAGAAATCCTAACAGCTGGCAAACTGGCTGGGATTTCTGGGAGTTGTAGGCCAAAAACATCTGGGGACCCCAGGTTGAGAACCACTGATATAGAGGTTTGTGTATTGCTATTTTTGGGGCAGAGCCCAGATATGACTAGGACTTGGAAAATAGTTCTAGACATTGCATGATTTTAAATGTTCCTTAAATGGAGGCTTTCTAAAAGTATAGATGTATTTCTGGATTCATGCCATCATGATTTTTTGGTTCAGCTCTCAATTGTTTCCTTATAGATGAAGTGGACAGTTCACTTGACGCTACAATTACATCTTTACTCATAAATTCCTCACAGCCAAATCAATCTGAGAGAAAGTACAGTAAAAAACAGTTTTTGGATTCCTCAAAGAATTTTAAAAACTTTAACCGGTAAGAAAATCATTTGCTCTTTGTGGACCAGTCTTTTCCTTTCCAATCATTGTACTCAGCATGTTCTGGGATCAGAAAATATTACTGCCTATTTCTGATGACATGAAAAGAGTTGGATATTCCAGCTTGTAATTATAGTGATCATTTGTGTTTATTAGGCTGGATGATGTGTTGGATTCTCTGTGTGGTTCAAACCAGCTTGACACAGAGCCAGGGCTCAGTGGAAAAGTTCTTGGAAGTAATGAAACTCAAAATGGAGGCACATATTCAGAAACAGGTAATAACATTCTTATTATTCCAAATACAACTCAAATGGAATTAGTTATGATTCACTTGTTGCCCAAGTCACATGCCTCTTTCACTATACATACCTGCAGGAAATCTGGGCTCCACTTTTGTGCCCCAGGACCCAGTGGGTTTCCACATGAACTATTGAAAAAATAAAATAAAATAAAACCAAAGTGGCCGCAACTCTACTTCTGCTTATACAGTAGAGGGAGGCCTTTAAAAGTACCATATTTACTCGAGTTTAATGCTCACCTTTTTGGTTAAATTACATTGCCAAAATTAAGATGTGTATTAGATTTGATGGCGCATTAGAATTGTGTGCATAAACCCACCTGAAAAGGCCCAGAGGAACATGGAGGCCAAACATAGAGGGTGATGAAAAGAGACTGTTCCTGCTGATGGCAGCAGCCTCATGGCTTGGTGGAGGCCGTAGGAGGAGTGCACAGCTGGTGAGCCAATCATTCCTATCACTTAGCAATGAATCCTGGCTCCTGTGAGGCCCTTGGGGTCTATCACATACTTCCTTAGGCTCAGTCCTAGGTGGTTCCCCACTGACCTCTTTCATGAGGCCTTCAAGACCTCCTTCTTAGCCCAACAGAGAGTTGTGGCTTCCCAAATGGCCTTATTCATGCTGCATGCCTCTCTGACGTGTTGATGACTGCACTGTTGGCTGCATTGCATTTTAGGGTAAATCTTTTTTTTTTTGTAATGTGCACCTTCAAAATTGAGGGCATTATACATTCGATGGTGCATATACTCTAGTAAATATGTGTAAATTGTTGCAGGTTGAGCATCTCTTTTGGCCAGAAAAATTATTCTGAACCTTTTGAGAGGCAAAAAAAATCTTACAGGACCACCTATAGCCCTACGAGTTCAGTTTATCTGGTGTGTTTCTTGATTAGTACAGTCCATTGGAGAACATTGTGACCATCTTTCTTTAGAAACAGTTTTGTTCAACTACTTGGCAGGAGTCGCGATGGCGCAATGGGTTAAACCCTTGTGCCAGATAAACTGCAGACCTGAAGTAGTTCCTCTGGGCCTTTTCAGGTGGGTTTATGCACACAATTCTAATGCGCCATCAAAGCTAATACACATCTCAATTTTGGCAATGAAATTTAACCAAAAAAAGGTGAGCATTAAACTTGAGTAAATATGGTACTTTTAAAGGCCTCCCTCTACTGTATAAGCAGAAGTAGAGTTGCGGCCACTTTGTTTTTTTATTATTTTTTTTATTGTTCCCATCATATGGCCAAATATAGAGGAAAGTACAGGTAGCTCAATTGGAGCTACCCGGAAAACACTTTCCTCTTCATCGTGGAGGAGGAAGCGTCTTGCGATTCTTCCCCTCCACTTCAAGAATGTGGATGGAGTTAAGCCAGCATCTGATGGTGCTCGACAGGCCCCGTCAACAAATGGAAGAACAGGACAAAGAAAGCTCCATGTGCAGAGGCCCTTAGACTGGTCCTCTTGGAGACCCTGGTGTCTCCAAGGTGCTGGAGATCCACAGGGTAACTGGACAGGCCATATCTTTTCAGTCTAAGAGGAAAGCGATGGCAAACCCTTTATGAACAAAACTGGTAAAAAAAAAAACCCTCATCCTGTAATTGCCATAAGCCAGTACTGAAAGTATGCAACAACAAAAACAGCGAGAAGCATGTGTCCTTTAGTGTAATGCCTACACAGCATAAGCTTGGACTGGTAGTTACATAACTGTTCATGCCCACGCACAAACAAAGCATGATTTCAAAAGTCCTAATTAGGCAGGACCTAAAGCTTGAAACTTCTTAATGTCCACGATTTTCAACTTTTAATTATTACTCTCAAGCTAAGGAAGAGTAGTGTTTTGCCATTTTTGGTGACTGTAAACCTTTATAGGCTGACTAACAACTTGGCTGTTTTCATGATACATAAGCATTAAACCATGAACACACTTTTTCGTTCTTGCTCTATCCTTTGGATAGACATTGACTCCTTTTCAAAGTACTGTATAGAGTAAGTGAGTATGCTTCTGCTGTGTGATACTGTGTATTTCTTTTGAATTGTTTTTATAATTTTTCCAAGCTGTGCAGCTTTTATTTGTGTTCTGCTGTTTTGTTATGGATCATTACCTTTTTATTTATTTCTAATTTGTTTTGTGATAAGACTTGCTGAGCGTAAGGATATAAACCCAGGAAAAAATGAAGTGTTCAAGCTTTTATTTCACAGTTGTTATTGGTATAGACTTTAAAAATATCTCTTGCTCTCACAATTTGTTTCTGCATTCTCTGAATTTCTCTGCTTATAAAATAGGGTAAGAATACTCATCATATATGACAGGTAGAAAGGATAGTAATTGTGTATCAAATCAATAGCCTCAGCTGTTTTAATATTGAGTCATATGCTACCATGGCAACTTTTTTGTGATTATAGACATCTCTCTCCTCTCCTGCATAGTTTATTATTTAAAATTAAAGGAATAATTTGCTGGGCATTTCTGCTTCAATCTTTACCTCTTAGATATTACACTGCCTTCAAGTTTGACAGTGGCTACATGTTGTGATTATGATAGTGGCGGTGATGAAGTAAAAAAGAGTGTGGACATTCATGAAACAAAAGAATTAATTGGGAAAAAACTGATACCATCTCACTTCAGTCAAATTTATCATGAATTATCTATTATATATCAAAAGCTGCAGGTAATTTTAAAAAATAATTTAACAATTTGTTAATTATTTTAAAATATATCAGATTACTGAAGTATTTTATTGTCTTGTTACGATACAGCAAGAAAAACTAACTCAACAAGAATTTGCTTTGCAACTCAAAAAACAAGAACGCTTCTTAGTTGAACGAGAAGCCCGACTCTGTAGACATGAGGCTGCCTTGACCAAGATAAGAGATGTAGAAGAGGAAGCTCGCACAAAATTTCAAATTATGAAGGAGGTATAGTTTTTTTTCTAAAATTCCTCAAACTTAAAACTTTCTAGCTAGTAAGATCTAGAACTTTCTTTTCCTAGAAAATAAAAATCCTAAAAGGTATTGACAGCTATTTGCTGTCCTATTGGCTTAATTGTTTATATCACGTGAGAGTTTATCTCTGATTTAGAGATAATTTGTAGGCATGGATTTGTCACCCATGGGGACAAATTTCCATAATATGAGCATTATATATGTAAATATTGGTGCTGTGTGGCTGAAGAATCAGTCTGTTTTATCATATGTTCTCCACATGTTGAATTTTTACAACAAAAGAAGAATGCTTATCTCCAAATTATTTGCAGGTGACAATACAGTGGGCTCTTGATATCTAATGGAGTTTAGTTTCATAATCAGCCATGAATACCAAATCCTTGATTTTGGGGAAGTGTATGTGTGTAAAAACAACATAGTACACAACTAAGAAGTTTCTGTTTTTGATAATCAAAATCAATTGGTAGGAATCGCCCTGATGAAATGAGTGAAAAACATTGAGTTAGACTGATGTGAAATAGATAGAAATTTCTACCAAGATCTCCTGAATAATTCTTAAATTATGTGAGACAGCGAAAATGCTAATATGAAAATTTGAACTTACTGCTTTACACCAGTGGTTCCCAACCTATGGGCCACAGCACGCTGGTGAGCCACAAGGCCTAAAATAAGGTCAGCGACTGGGGGTGCGTGTCGCCATTGCAGGAGGGAGAGAAGGAAGGAGGCCAGTGCTGTTGCCCAATCAATTTTTTTTCTTGGCATCTTTGTTTTTAGGCCTGTTCCTGGGGTTATTTGGGGTGCTGATTCAGAAAATTACATCTGTGGGCGAGCAGATGGTGACTACTGGATGGCATATGTTCTGTATCAGAAACTAGAGCTGATGTGGTTTATCCAATCCAGTTTTAATCAGCACCTCAAATAACCAAACGGAATCTGAAGTTGACCAAAAACTGATTCATAACCCTTTGGTATTAATGTTGGAGAGTGGACCCAGGTCAAAGTGGTCCCTGGTCAGAAAAAGGTTGGGAACCACTGCTTTACACTTTTGTATTATTTGGGGGGGGGGGGGGAATCTGCTTCATTTGACTATCTGTTAAATCTTAATCAGTCTTTAGCTGCCATATACTGGTGGCCAGTGCTTTGGCAGATAGGTGCACTTACAGAAAGTCCTATGTTTCCTGGGAAAATATTTTCCCTCCATCCATTTTAAAGCGCTTGGTTCCACATCCTGTAACAGAGAGTGACACAAACATATGTGCAGAAATAGGGGCTGAATTTAAAGTTGTTGGAAAAACAACTTGTTAATCCTGTGTGGCCTTTTTAAAAAGTCCTTCCTTTTGTTTGTAGCAACACGAAGCTGAAATTCAACAGTTATCTGAAGCTCTGAAAGAAAAAACTAAAGAAAACAAAAGGCTTAAGACATCATTTGAAACTTTAAAAGAGCTGAATGATACTTTAAAAAAACAGGCAAGTACAATTTTTGACACTTATGCATTGGGATTTGTAATAATATAAACTAGGTGCTTTTGAGAGGTTTTGTAGTATTTTAACAAGTGACAGTGTATGGGCCGAAATCGTAATGCTGATGCACTGAAAAACTACTAGAACAACAGTGTTGGATCTCATTGTGTGCAAACATTAGTAGAAAACACTATTCGCATGCTCAGGTTCAAAGTGGAGTACTATACTAGATACCTTCTTTGCAATAAACTAAAAAAATCATTTCAAGTAGTGCTGTGCCACATTGGTTTCAGATCATGATCTTCATTATCTTCTATTGATATTCTGTGAGAAACTGTGGCCAACATTTAAAGACAAATCACACTACTCTCAATACATGTTAGTAATCTTTTAAAATATTCCCGCCTTCAAGTTTACAAATGTGTGTTTTTATTGAAGTGCCTTAATGTTTTATATGTTTTGCTTTTCTCTGTAAACTCTGCTTTCAAATTATCACACGGCCGCAATGGATAGGAATGGGTTGTAGCTTTTTTCAGGCTATATGGCCATGTTCTAGAGGCATTCTAAATGCCTCTAGAACATGGCCATATAGCCCAAAAAAACCTACAACAACCCAGTGATTCCGGCCATGAAATCCTTCGACAATACAATGGATAGGAATGTTCAGCCTGAAATAGATGATGTACATCAAATCTTTAAACTTGGGCTCGATTTGCTTGCAATCTGTGCGGGCAGGGAATGGTTAATACCACCTATTTGATTTGCGAGGTGGGCGGGGCGGGAGATGGATATGAGCCCATACCTAGAAGGTATGCACCTGAATGATACCTTAAAAATACCTGCAATCTGAATGATGCCTGAAATCTGGGACCTTTTAGACTGGAGATATGAAACCCCCAAACAACCCATTGTGGTCCCCCACTTTAGGAGAAAAAACAAAAGCCAACAAAGTATATTCTGCGAGAGATAGAGATACCTGTTTTAAAGCTTCGTTTATTTTTCTCCCTCTTTTTAGTTAAGTGATGTAAGTGAACAAAACAAGAAGCTAGAAGTCCAGTCTCAAAGAGTACAAGCTCGCTTAGAGAATTTGCAGGTATGATAAAATTTAATTTCAAATGGTTTATCATCTTTGCAATAAACTATTCTTACAGATTATCCTGTCCACTTGTCCTTACAGAGGAAATACGAATTTTTATCAATACAAAAGTCCAAAGGAGCTTCCCGCACTAGCTTAGAGCTTAAAACTGTCAAGCCAGAAAAAGCTATAGCATCATCAAAATCATATAAGGTAAAACACATACTGTTCAGGGAGTGTTCTCCCAACTAGGGTTTCAAAGACTGAAAGGTGTTTTGTTGTGAAACGAGTGGTTTGTTCAACATGAAACAAGCCACTCATTTAAAGTTAAAAACTGTGAATATCAGACTGCATGTATGCATGTAGAAATGGTCTGTAGGGAGACAATGAATTTTATTATGGAAGATAGTTGAAGTTATTTTAGATGTTCTTGTCAAAAGATTTTCCCAATTTAATGAAGTGGAAATATTGCTAGTTTATTATTATGTTAAAATGTATTTTAGATTGTTTTTATTTGTTTAAGAAAATGCAGAGATAGGGGAGCAATCAGATTCTTGAATTTCTCCAAGGAGGATATTGACTATGGTTGAATGTGGAAGAAAATAGAAGGTTTGCTTTCTCAGAAGAATCTGCATCAAGGAGAACTAGAGCAGGGGTTCCCAAACTAAGGTCTGCTGGCCAGATGTGGCCCTTCAAGGTCATTTACCCAAGCCCCGCCCTAAACTTTAGACCAGTGGTTCTCAACCTGTGGATCCCCAGATGTAAACTCCCAGAAATCCCAGCCAGTTTACCAGTTGTTAGGATTTCTGGGAGCTGAAGGCCAAAACATCTGGGGACCCACAAGTTGAGAATCACTGCTTTAGATTTAGGGTCACCCCTAAATCTTAAATGACATGAAGGCACACAACAACAACAATCCTACTTAACAGCAAGCTTAATTCAGTTCAGCCTAAAGCAGGCCCACACTTCCCATTGAAAGTTTACGTTGGTTAAAATTGTTATTCATTTTAAATATGGTATTGTTCTACCATGCTTTTTTGCACTACAAATAAGATGCAGAGTGCATTAGAATGTGTTCATTTTTTTTCAAACTATAGTCCAGCCCCCCAACAGTCTGAGGGACCATGAAAAACCTTTAAAAGTTTGAGGACCCCTATTCTACAGACAAATCTCAGGAGGGAAAAGAACGTGTGTATTTTTAGTGATAGCTTTGATTAATGTTTCCTTCATGCAAATCCAGTCAGGAAAAAATGTTCCTTCTTCAAACTGGCACGGCAGAATCATCCATCGTCAGTCTTCCATGCCCTTTCCATTCAGCTGAGGCAGGCCTGTTGCGTGTTGCAATGTAGATTGCACACATTGGTACATGTGGTAGATAATCATCTTCTAGTAGCAAACGTCTTTTAATAAGCCTGTCGTGCTTGCTGTTATGTTTGCCTGTTACGTTTGCAGGTACCTTTTAATTCACACACCTATGACCTTTTAACCGTCTTAATGGACTGGATTTCCGATCAGCACCTCAGCAAATTGATAGCAGAGGAAGAGAAAGAAGACACTCACAAATTATCAGTCACTTCCAACAAACATTATGTCCAGGAGAAGTGTATCAAGGTAATGTTCCCTGCTCTTGTTTTCAGAGTTGATATTTCTCATCTCTGCATATTTGGGGTTTAATGTTTCTAATAATTTTTGGTTGTCCATTACGCAAAGCTTATTTACATTTCACACACAGACTTAATGTTTGGTACAACTTCAAGGATATCTGATGATTTGTTATTTGCATTTCTGTTTAAACAGGCTGCTTACCCACATTTGGATGTGTTCCTAGCGAGGGTCAGACCTGTCAAATAAATGTCATTGTAGTATATTCTATTTTAAAATATTATTTTAATACTAGGAAATAATTATTTCTTAGTTCTTGTGGGTTTTTTCGGGCTATATGGCCATGTTCTAGAGGCATTTCTCCTGACGTTTCGCCTGCATCTATGGCAAGCATCCTCAGAGGTGAGGTCTGCTGGAACTGGGAAAAGGGGTTTATATATCTGTGGAATGACCAGGGTGAGACAAAGGGCTTTTGTAAGTTGGGCTAGGTGTGAATCTTTCAACTGACCACCTTGATTAGCATACAATGGGCTGACTGTGCCTGGAGCAAACTCTTCTTGAAAGGTGATTAGATGTCCCTGCCTGTTTTTCTCTCTGCTGTTTTTGCTGTTGCAATTTTAGAATTTTTTAATACTGGTAGCCAGATTTTGTTCATTTTCATGGTTTCTTCCTTTCTGTTGAAATTGTCCACCTGTTTGGATTTCAATGGCTTCTCTGTGTAGTATGACATGGTGGTTGTGAGAGTGGTCCAGCATTTTTGTGTTACATTCAGCAAAGGACAAAAGGGATCCTCTCACCTATGCAGGAGTCTACCGCATACCATGCAGCTGTGGATGAGTCTACAGAGGGACCACCAAATGCAGCGATGCCCAAACATGAATCAAGGAACATGAAAGGCACTGCAGACTAATTCAACCAGAGAAGTCAGCCATAGCAGAGCACCTGATGAACCAGCCTGGACACAGCATATTATTTGAGAACACAAAAATGCTGGACCACTCCAACAACCACCATGTCAGACTACACAGAGAAGCCATTGAAATCCACAAGCATGTGGACAATTTCAACAGAAAGGAGGAAACCATGAAAATGAACAAAATCTGGCTACCAGTATTAAAAAACTCTAAAATTGCAACAGCAAAAACAGCAGAGAGAAAAACAGGCAGGGACATCTAATCACCTTTCAAGAAGAGTTTGCTCCAGGCACAGTCAGCCCATTGTATGCTAATCAAGGTGGTCAGTTGAAAGATTCACACCTAGCCCAACTTACAAAAGCCCTTTGTCTCACCCTGGTCATTCCACAGATATATAAACCCCTTTTTTCCCAGCTCCAGCAGACCTCACCTCTGAGGAAGCTTACCATAGATGCAGGCGAAACGTCAGGAGAAATGCCTCTAGAACATGGCCATATAGCCCGAAAAAACCCACAAGAACTGAGTGATTCCAGCCATGAAAGCCTTCGACAATTATTTCTTATGTCTCAACTGCATCCCAAAGCTCATTTTTCTGGAAGTGAGGCCTCATTGGATGCAATGAGACTTCCTTCTGACTAAACTTACAGAAGGCTGAATTCAATTTTCATTCCATCTAGAGTTCTCCCAATGAAATCAGTAGGATTTACATTACTGTTGCTTAATAAATCTCATTCATTTCTCTAAATATTCTTTAGTTGTGACTAATATTTTATTTATCTCACAGATTTATGCTGTGACTTCAGTGTAGACAAAGATATAAATATGTATGTACCCAACCTTTGGATTTCTTAGATTTAGTTCTTCTACGTAATTAAAGCAAAACAGGTCTATTAATTCTGTTTATTTTTTTAAAGTTTTTAAAAATATGGTTAGATAGTTTAATTTTGTTTTCATGTTACTTATTTAATACATTTTTAATTTGTAAGTCGCCTGAAGTCCCAATCTTGAGAAGAAGGTTGGATATAAATAAGTTGACAACACCATAAAAATAGTGATATTGAATCTGCTTTCAGTCAACATGATATTGAAAAATGAAAGAACCAAATAAAACAGTTGATTGTATATAACTCATGTACTAAGTTTTAAGTATTTTCTGGGTTGAATGAGAAAAACCATCTGTACTCACTTTGACCAAAACTTGTATAAACATATACCATTTCTTGTTATTAAATAACAATGAAATAAAAGCTGTCATTTTAATGCCCTAGGGATTTAATCCATTTTTTAATTTTTAAAAACCCTTCTTGCTCCAAAATTTGATGGGAAAAGTGGTTTGTTTTGTTTTTAAGTGTATCCAGTACCCCAGGTAGGGTTTGGGATTGAATCAAAGGGAGAGGTCACTGTAGAGCAGCAAAGTTTCAGTGAGGTTGCTTCTAGGGATTGTTGGGCAAGCGTGGTATTGCCATTTTTTCATGTACAGTCACTTTTCCAGCCCTAGGAAAGTAAGTGTCCCTATGTACATTTGAATAAATTGTACTGTAAAACAAATACTGTAGTGCTTGCTAGAGTGTCAATGGTGCAGATTCCCTCTTCAGGATAACATCACAATCAGTTATATTAGTATTAGTGTATCAACAACCTTCTTTATGTGGTCCAAGAATATCCCTCCTGTGGACCATCTAAAAGCAGTAGGAAGCATTTCACAAAACAGCAGTTCAAGAGATAATTAAGACACTTGCACTCATGACATGGGACTTGCCCACAGACCTCTGTCTGGTCTCGCTGTTTGTTAGCCTGCTGCTACTTGTTTTTGGGTAACTGCCTCCAGAAGTAAACAGGGCTCTTATGCCAGCAGCAGCTGACTCTGGCACATTGTTCCTATTTCATCTTGGCACAGAGAAAACATACAGTCAATAGCAATCACTTTCTGGGATTGGTGGTGCTCAACTATGGAAACCAACATACCGTATTTCATCGCATAATAGTCGTCATTGCGTAATAGTTGTACTCTTATTTTTGGGGTCCTGGTATTGTTATTTCTGTTTCCCTCATGTAATAGGTGCAACCTTAATTTACTGGTCCATCTGCTCACGCATCTTCCCGCCTGCCCAGAGACCCACCTGCCCACTCACTCACTCATCCATCACTCACTCACCCATCTGCCCGCCCATTCACCCGCCCATTCACAGACCGTTTTCCAATGCACACATTCACTAGGTTGCATATGCATTTGCTGACCATCCCCTTACAGAAATGCCACTTGAAGTGGCGTTCTTGGAAGGGAGTGGTTAGCGAATGGATGCACATGTGAGTGGGTGGGTGGGAGACTGATGAGAACTGCATTCTTAGAAGGGGCTGGCCAAAGAATAGATGGGTGACTGAATTAATGCATGAGAAAGTGCCCTCTCACTCACTGACTTTCCCACGCACATACTCAATGGTCCATCCATCTGCTGACCATCCCCTACCAAGAACGCTGCCTCAAGCATGAGTGGCTGGGTCAGTGGGTGAGAATTTCTTTATAATAATAATTATTATTATAATAATAATTATTATTATTTCTTACCTGCCTCTCATGGCTCGAGGCAGGTCACAACACAGTCAAAAACACACAAATACTATAAAATTCTAAACACATATATTTAAATGCAGTTCCATAAAAGATACATAGCAAAGCATTTATATAAAATACACATTAATTACACAGGACAGAGACCAAAAACGCAGGACATGAGTTTAAAATTCATGCTTTCAACTTATAGAGTTGTAATATTTCAGTTGTGGTGCTTTTATGTTTCACAGTGCTTACCTCTGGTTTCCGAACAACTCCAATGGATGCCCTTTGTAAATCCAAACTTGCATTTTCATGTGGTTAAATTTCTTTACTGGACTTTAAGGCAGTTGGATGGGGGGATGCAGGTAAGCAATTCATACATAACAATCTGTTTGAATTGAGATAAGTCTGTTTCTCTCTCAGAGATTTCTCCGATTATTGATTGATTTTAAGTAATTTTTCTAGTTTTGATACCACTACCTTCATAATATTTTGTTTTTATCTAGAATTATTATTCCGTGACTAGAGGGCTGAGACAAAAAGTTTATTTTGCAGAGAGAAGTAGAATTCAAACTTCATGAGAACATTGCTCTTAAGAATTCCTTCTTGGTTTTAGCAATGTTTTGCTATAGTGTGTATGATTTCTACCCAGTACTGCTCCATCTCATGTACCAAGCTTAACCAATGTCACCTTACATTTTTCTGCTTTGATGCAAGTTTATGTAACTTGTGGAAATTTCATAATTGTTACATTAGCATTCAGTACAAATTTGCACTAGCCAGCAATTGGAGCCTCTCCTAGGTTCATCAGCATATTTTTATCTGAAGTGTTGGAATACGTCTCCACTTCTGGCTCAGAACCATAGTTCAGAACATAATGCTGGCATATTGATCAATGTACTTCATTAAGCCATTATTCACTGACCTGTCATGTTATTTAACGTTATTCGCTAGTCACTTAAATATTTAGCTATATTGATTACACTTTTAAGACATGTACATTATTTTTACTTTTATATTATTAGAGGTTATTATTTATTTTTATTGGTTGTATAACAGTATGCAACGATGACATCAACATTGAGAAGACTGGGTGAAGAGTTATTTAAAGGTGTTGTTGCTAAGGGAAATCAATACACTTCTGAAAATGCTGCTGATACCAAACTAAAGTCAGCGGCTTTCTTCAAAAGCAGCAGTTTACCTTTAAGGATGGTGTCAACTTTAATAATAATCAAAACAGTGACACAAGGTAAGTTTTTTGCTGCATATGGCCTTTTCCAATATGTTTGACATGCCTATAAATTATAGAAAGACCCTAAGTTCAGTTGAAAGAAAGCAGGTAAAGAGAAAGAGATAAAGTGTTTACAATGAGGCTCCACAACTTTCTGGACTTTGTTTTTTTGCCAGTCCAAAAGACCACAAACATAAGCCACATATAAACCTAAGAAGAATACTATTGGATCAGGCCAAAGGGTTGGGAAACCTTCCATACAGTAAATAAATTTTGGGGCTGTGTCTCAAAGAATCCCCAATTAGACAGTAAAATAAATAAATAGTTTTTAAAAAATCTGTCCCTATACAAGGCGATACCCACTATGGTCAGTAATAATTGATAAACCCACCCTCTGAGACTGTAAAAGAAAGCTTCCCAGAATATTTTCAACCGGCACAAAATATTTAATATATTTATTGATTTGCTCCTTTGTTGGATTCATATCTTCCACCTTTTCCCCAAACACGGGAATAAGTCTGCATCTACACCCCTTATTTGGATGTGTAAGGCATGTATTTGCAATATAAAAGTGCATAGTTCAAATAATGTGTAAATGGTGTTTTGTTTTATAGTCACAGTGCAGTAGGGGGCATCCTAACTAAGGTTTTGCACATGCAAGAAGTCATTCAATTTAGATAACAGTTCCTGAAACATAGCAGTTTTACATTATTTACCTGACCTGTGTATTACAGAGAAGTTGTAATAAATCCAAATTTTGTATTTATTATTTTATCAAGTAGCTTATATTCATATAGATATGCATATGCATGCTGGTTGGAATGCAAATACATTCAAAAATAATAAAGGAAACATTTTCTGATCAGATTGTAAATTAATTTAAACTTGGCATTTTAGGATGGAGTTGTAAATGCGTTTAAGAGAAAAGCCTAAATCCAGTTGTCAGTCCCAGTTAGAATTCTAAATTAGTGGAACTTAGTTAAGTATAAATTGGTGTAAATAAGTCATTTAGTTATAATAATATAATAAAACTTTATTTGTATACCGCCCAATCTCCCCAAGGGGACACAGGGTGGTTTCCAACATGTAAGGCAAAACATTCAATTGCCCCAAAGGAAATTAAAATAAACATCATAAAATATAAAATCCTACTAAAACATACACAAAAAACCCAATTTCATTATAACTCCATCAAATGGGTTCAAAATACCAATAGCTAGGATTACAAAATGGACATAGCCAACTATAAAGTTTTGGGCAAGGGATAGTGTAACCGTGTATCATAGGGCTGGGGAAGTGGATAAGTGCAGAGCAGAGTACTATCTGATGGGCTAGGGAAGAACCTAGGGACTAATCATTCTCAAAAACCTGTTAGGACATCCAGAAGTATAAAAAACCTTAAGAGATAAAATTATTATTATTACTACTATTTTACTAACACAAAAGCACAGTATGTCACAGCAAACGAGATCTATATGCTGGATTTTGTATCAAAAAATCACAAGTCGAACACTTCCCAAGCGTCTAGGATTGTGTGATGTATTTTCGAATGATGCGTGCAGATCCAAGTAAGGTGGCCTTTTGCAGTTGACTGATCGTGATTTTGTCGATGTTTATTGTTTCCAAATGCCAACAGATCTTTTGGCACGGCACCCAGTGCGCCAATTTATTTATTTATTTATTTACTTTACTTTACTTTACTTGTATACCGCACTATCTCAGCCCGTAGGCGACTCAGTGCGGTTTACAGCCAGGACAATATACAAGGTGCACAACATTAGCATTTAAAACAGTAACTAAATCAACTACGTCAATATAACAATACAACAGAACATCAATATAGCATCTATACATCTATATAACTAATCCATCACGTCTCAACGGTAAAATCATAATCCGATCTCCTCGTCCATTATTCCAAGTTCCAAGATCAATCAGTTGGTTGCACTGCTTAATTAAACTCCTGTTCAAAGAGCCAGGTCTTTACTCTTCTCCTGAACGCCAGCAGGGAGGGGGCCGATTTAACGTCTGCGGGAAGGGCGTTCCATAGCCGAGGGGCCACCACTGAGAAGGCTCTGTCTCTCGTCCCCGCCAGCCGTGCTTGTGAGGCTGGCAGGATCGAGAGCAGGGCCTCCCCGGACGATCTTAATGTCCTAATGACCACTGGGACCACCTTTACTGGTTTATGCCAGAGCCTTTGCAGTTCGATTTTGAGGTCTTGATAGCGGATGAGTTTTTCCTGTTGTTTTTCCTCAATGTGGCTGTCACCTGGTATGGCGACAAATAATCGTCAGGAGAAATGCCTCTAGAACATGGCCCTATAGCCCGAAAAAACCCACAAGAACCTAAATAATCCAGACTTTTTTCTTTTCCAAAATAGTGATGTCTGGTGTATTGTGTTCCAAAACTTTGTCAGTCTGGATTTGAAAGTCCCACAGTATTTTTGCGTGTTCATTTTCTATTCCCTTTGCAGGTTTATGATCCCACCAATTCTTTACTGCTGGCAGGTGGTACTTGTGTCATAAGTTCCAGTGAATCATCTGGGTTACAGAGTTGTGTTGTGTCTTTGTTTGTAGTCCGTCTGTGCAATTTTCTTGCAACAGCTGAGGATATGGTCCATGGTTTCATCAGCTTCCTTGCACAGTCTGAATTTTGGGTCATCCGCTGATTTTTCAATCCTGGCATTCATTGCATTTATTCTGATGGCTTGCTCCTGGGCTGCAAGGATCAGGCCTTCTGTCTCCTTCTTCAATGTTCCATTCGTGAGCCATAACCAGGTCTTCTCCCTGTCAACTTTTCCTTCAATTTTGTCAAGGAACTGTCCATGCAATGCTTTGTTGTGCTAACTGTCAGCCTTGGTTTGTAGTGCAGTTTTCTTGTGCTGATTCTTTGTCTGCTGTGCTTTGAGAAGTTTCCGATTATTAACTTGAATTAAAGCGGGTTCTTGGCTTTCCTTGACATATTGAGCCAGGGCGTATGTTCCTCCTTCAACTGCTTGTTTTACTTGTAAGAGTCCTCTGCCACCAGACCTTCTGGGCAGATAGAGCTGGTCAACATCACTGCGAGGATGTAGTGAATTATGAATAGTCATGAATTTTCTTGTTTTTCTGTCCAAATTGTCCAGTTCTGCCTGCGCCCAGTTTATGATGCCAGCAGTATATCATCTTCCTCTTCTTCTTCTTCTTCTTCTTCTTCTTCTTCTTCTTCTTATTATTATTATTATTATTATTATTATTATTATATTTTAATGCTATTTATCTAGATTATTGCTATTTTCTCAATCTGAAAATACCCTGCACAGTAACTGGCTGCCTGCCTTTGCATTTTGGATGCTACTTCTGCCTAAAAGAAGAAAAAAAATCACATGGGCTGCAATTAGCATCAGTTTCAAATGGTTAACAAATTCTGTTACCTAGTTTGAAGGACAGTCTAGTTAAACTCTGGAAAGTGATACTGTAATTGTCGAAAGTTTTAACGTTTTGAGATTGTTTGGTTTAATTAAATACAGTCAAAGTTGTATTGTAAGGTGATTTGACTCAAGTTAGCATTTCTAATTTGCTATTTGACACAGTTAAAGAGAAAAGTTATACATTAAATAAAATGTCATACTAGAGATGTTTTAATATTTCATATTTTAATATTATACATATATGATTAACTTACATATAACTGTTTGATTATGTAGATAAAATAATGAGGTAAAATTTTAATATTTAAATTTGAATGTATTTTCCAGCGGATTACTTGGCTCAAGCCTTTGATTCACTTTGCATTGATCTGAAAACAGATGAAGGAAGGGCCTTGTTTTTGGACTATGAAGCGGTGCCTGTTATATTGAGTCATATACGAATATCAAGTAAAGGCCTTCTTTCCAATGCCATTGATAGTTTACTTCAAATGACAACAGAATCCAGTAAGTGCATTGAATCTTTTTGTAATACTCACTTGCTCATTTTATGTAATTGGCTTAAAACTATGAAAGTTGAAATTCATAGAGTACTTGCTCATCCATTAAAAAGATGAGAACTGTTTCCATCAAGGAAACAAGCAATACTCCTACAAAATTTTTTCCGCCCCTAATTTGGGTTTGTAAATTTTGAAGGCAGGTAATTTAGTAAATAGATATATATTTTCAGGACATTACTTGTCCTAGTGAAATAGAAGATAAAGTGAGGAGGATATAAACATGCCAATTCCTTTTAAACAAATGTTTATGTGTTTAAAATTCATAACTCACAACTCACTTCATATAAGCATGAAGTGAGTTGAGTCAGATCATTTTTTCCCTTTTTCAGGATATAGCTGACCTAGAATTCTTAGTAATTTTATGTGACGTTGTAAGCTGCCCTGAGTTCCCATTCGGGGGCTGAGAAGGACAGGGTAAAAATGTTGTTAATAAAAAATAAATAAATTACAACCAAAAGGAAAATAAGAATATAGACCACTACATATAATAGCCCTGGGACTCAGTGTGGTTGACTGGTTTGTGTTTTGGACTGGGATTCAGGATGAGCAGGGTTTACATTTTCACTTGGGGACCATTGGGTCATTCTAAATGACCTGGGGGAAGTCACCTTGTTGTGATCTAAGAGGAAGACAAGACAAACTTTCTTTGTACAAATCTTGCAAGACAAACCTGTGATAGGCTTGTCATAAATCAGAAATAACTGTGCATATTTCTAATGAATTGGTGTCACGGTGTAATCATCATTTCACTGGAAGGTTGTGCCACCTCCCCATAATAATCCATGCCCATTTGTTATAGGCACCCTTGCAAATAAACCTCAGTGGCCTCATCTACACTGCCACATAATGCAGTTTCAGAATTCAAATTAACTGCATTGAACTGGATTATATGGCAGTATAGACTCATATAAGCCAATTCAGTGCAGTTCAATCTGCATCATATGATTCTACACTGATCATATAATGCATCTTAAACTGCATTATTTAACAGTATAGATGGGGCCAGTGTGGATATGCTCCTACTGTGCAATTTGAACACTTCACAATTGGGAGTGTACATTTAGAGTGCAAGCCTTACACCTATTTTGGTTTAAGACCTTATTAAGGAGTGCAGTTCATGGGTATTGGATGCTCCCTAAAGTCAGGCCTAATCATGTAAATCTAGAATATGCATGTAAGGCAACTTTCCTTATTATTCTGAACCCAACTTACTGATAAAGTCTTTGTTGTGTGAGGAAGTTTCTTAATGTTTAATGCAGACATGTTTTCTGTCTCACAGACTTGTATGTCCATCCATGTAACTATCTGCCAAGAGAAATTATATGTATTCAGGTTAGCTTTGCACAGTTTTAATTTCAGAGATACTTATATGGCTGCTGGAAGGAATGATCTGTATCGTTTCCTTCAGTTTAAGCAACAGCATTGTCCAGGTTTTGGTTCCAGTAGGATGTAATCATACCTCTAAATTATTTGCTTCTGGTTGTACTCTTCCACAGAGCTTAGAAAGATTTCCAGATGTGCCCACAGCCAAAGAGAATAAAAATTCTTCATTAAAGACTACAGCTAGTTGAACTAAAAGACTGACTACTCTGTGCATTCCTATGCAAACTAACCTGCTAGATTTTCCACTGAGATAAATTTCTGCTAAGGACTCATCCTACGTTTTCTGCCTAGAGTGATTATGCTGTTTTATCTTAACTAGGAAGTATTTTGCTTTTTATCTTTAGCCCCCTACATGCTAATGTCAAGAGAGCAGTTTTGAACACTTCATTTGGTGTTGGAAGCACTTTCCTTTTATGTCAATCTCACAAAATGGCAGGAAGATGCAACAGTTACTCTACTAGCATTGACAAACTTTTCTGCAGCTCATACTGAACTTTTGCAGTTATTTCCTTAACACTTTATGCATTATTTTGCTACTGAGTATACATATGCTAGGCCACATATGATATATGTTTTATAACATTTAGGCATATGTGAAACCTCTTCCGCATACATCTAAATCACAACATAGCTATCATTAAAACAAGTGTGCTGTTAGCCCTATACAGGCATGTCCTAGTTAGCAAAGCCACTGAAAAAGAAACTCCTTTATACAGTGTATTATTGCCTGTATTTCTCTCCCCATTTTTTTCTCGTGCTCTACCCAGCTGGAAGATTTTTATTAGCATAAATATGAGGAGATGGATGGATGGATGGTGGGAGAAAAAAACTTCAGCACCATGTCTGCAGTAAATAATCAGATTCTACTCCAGTTGATCCTACTTTAGCTCAGTGTGTCTTCACAGTCCCTTATTGCAGAGCTTCTTAAAATTTTCCCAATCGCAACCCTTTCCCATATGAGAAATTTTTATGTGACTCCAGGTATATAAGTATATAAAATAGGTATAAAAATCTAGTCTTGCTAAAAAGGCTGATTTTTCTTTTTTGTGGAATTCAGCTGAAACATTTTTTGCAGAGTCCACTATAAACAGTGCATTCTATTTCTAACAGATTTATGTAAATGGGTGGTGTCCAGAAATCTCTTATTGTTGCCAAATTTTTGTGACCCCCAACAATGAGCTAAGGGGACCCCATTGGTCATTGAGACTCACACTTGAAGAAATAGTGCCTTATTGTACATGTCCGAACAACAAAACAGAGAAAAGAGTAGAAAAATCTGCTTTCACCAGCAATGCCCAACAAGTATCTATAAGTAGGAGCACCAGAATGGAAATCAAAAGGAAAGTGGCAACCGGTGAAAGAAAAAAGTCATCACTGGATGCATGTTGGAAGAGTCCTTCAGCTGATTTCTGTAAGGCTCAAATGTTTTGCTTTACTTATGTAATGTTTAACTGATCTGGTTGTTTCATTTCACATGTGCTGTTTTATGTTTGGCAAAGAAAGATTGCTGAAAAGATTTGAACTGCTCTTATTTTTCATGATGTAGAAACCTGTCCCCATTCCTTATTATTTTTGCTTCTGGTATTACATTTACTCTTAAAGAAATAATGGCCAAAAAACAGATCTACTTCATTAATTGAGGTATATCTGTATATTGTGGTGAAATACAAGTTTATACATGTACTTCAAAAGCATAATGCAGTTTTCTCTGCAGCTGGAGAACACTCATAGAGATAAAGAGAAAAAGAAGCTGAAAAGCCTGAAAAGCAGCAGAACTGAGTTGAGTGTGAAGGATGGAATATTCTCTGATAGGTTTAATAGGAGAGAGGGTGAAATTATTGAAAAGAAGATCCTTTTCACAAGTTGTGTTTCAGATAGCACATAGGGGATCAAGCTGATAAAGACTAATCTAATGGTGTGTTAATTCTGTCAAAGGAAAAGGCTTCCCTACTGCTGAAACAGCTTCAGCAGACTTTGGTGGAGTCTTCATCGTACTCTTCTCCTTGTATAGCCCTTTGGTGCACAGGAAAAACATGATGGTGATTTGGGCATGAGGAAAATGAAATGACAATGAACTTAGGCAGAAAAAAATGAAATGCAAAGGTAAAGAATTGGGGACACCTGGCTCGACAACAGTATGCGTGAAAAAAATCTTGGAGTCCTCATGGACAACAAGTTAAACATGAGCCAACAATGTCATGGAGTGGCAAAAAAAGCCAATGGGATTTTGGGCTGCATCAATAGGAGTTTAGTGTCTAGATCCAGGAAAGTCATGCTATCCCTCTATTCTGCCTTGGTCAGACCACACCTGGAATACTGTGTCCAAGTCTGGGAATCACAATTGAAGGGAGATGTTGACAAGCTGGAATGTGTCCAGAGGAGGGCAACTAAAATGATCAAGGGTCTGGAGAAAAAGCCCTATGAGAAGTGGCTTCAAGAGCTGGGCATGCTTAGCCTGCAGAAGAGAAGGCTGAGGGGAGACATGATGAGGGCCATGTGTAAATATGTGAGGGGAAGTCATAGGGAGGAGCGAGTAGGCTTGTTTTCTGGAGACTTGGACACGGAACAATGGCTTCAATGGCTACAGGAAAGGAGATTCCATCTGAACATTAGGAAGAATTTCCTGACTATAAGAGCTGTTCAGTATAACTCTCTGCCCCGGAGTGTGGTGGAGGCTCCTCCTTTGGAGGCTTTTTAAACAGAGGCTGGATGGCCACATGTTGGGGGTGTTTTGAATGCAATTTTCCTGCTTCTTGGCAGGGGATTGGACTGGATGTCCCACAAGGTTTCTTTCAACTCTGTGATTCTATGGTTCTTGGAAGGTAAAGTTTCAGAAAGAAGGAATGTTGCAACTGTAACATCTGAGGCATATTACAGCCCTCCACTCCTGGTCAGAATGGAAGCAAAGACCAAGGAGCATCATCTATTTTTGTCACACTCTTCCCGGTGCTCAAGCTGCAATCAGAAAGATTCTGATTTCCCCCTTCATGTTTAGTGGTCCACCACAACCAACAGCGGCATGTTGTTGTTTTTTTTGGGGGGGGGGATTGGCCGAGTGGGTAAAGGTGGTGGTTAATGCCTTACTTCGGGAAGGCAACATTCCAGCGAGCTTAAAACAAGCTGTAATAAAACCACTGTTAAAAAAAAAACATCACTGGACCCCACTCAATTCGTCAACTATCGGCCTGTTTCCAATCTCCCCTTTTTGGGCAAAGTCCTGGAACGTGTGGTGGCCTCACAACTCCAGGTATTCTTGGAAGACACGGATTATCTGGATCTGGCACAGTCTGGCTTTAGATCGGGACATGGAACCGTGACACCCTTGGTCGCCTTAGTTGATGATCTACGCCGGGAGCTAGACAGGGGGAGTGTGTTCCTGTTGGTTCTGCTGGACCTCTCAGCAGCCTTCGATACCGTCGACCACGGTATCCTTCTAGGACGCCTCTCCGGAGTGGGCCTGGGGGGCACTGTTTTACAGTGGCTCCAGTCCTTTCTTGAGGGTCGCACCGAGAAGGTGTTATTGGGAGACACCTGTTCAACCCCACATCCTTTGTCTTGTGGGGT